GTGTTTTTGTAGTATTTTCTACCCAACGATTGCATGCCACCCACTTTTGCCATCGCTTGGCTCTCACGTTTAGTTTTCATAAATTTACGCCATAAATATTTATGCTGGGGGGTGCTTTGGAATATGTAAAATTGGTAATTGGAAAATTTTTATCATACTGTTTTGGTGCACACACACACACCACTCGAACCACAAACGACGGGGAGTAGCTGGAAAATTTTGTTTTAATTTCAGGTGGTGACCTCCACCCGGAAACGCGGTTAGATATCGAATTCCAATTATGCGATGTAATTAAAAACGCTTCAAAGCGCAGAGATCGCTTGATGAATTCCTGGGAAATTTTCAGGGTTTTCCCACTCTCTCTCTCTCTCTCTCTCTCTCTGTATGTTTTCCTCCTAAGCTTTTACCACAAGTACATGTGTCGTTACATTGAAATGGAAATGTAAAACTTGGAAATGCATTCCAAGTGAGAGAGCTGAGGGCACGGAAAATTCGGGGCAGCAGTAAGTTGAGACGCGTATTTTTCAGCATATTAAACAAGCCAAGAGGTTCAAATGTTCCTGTAGGTCCTGGATCTCCTGCTCCTGCTCCTGCTCCTGCTCTTGGTCCTGCTCCTTTGGCTCCTCTTCCAGCTGCTGATTCTGTTCCTTTCAAGAGTTCGCTGGCTGGCTGTCTGGCTGTCAGACCACGTCGACTTCATCGTCTGCTTGACGTCTCATTTTTTCTCAGTTTGCGCCAGTCTTCTTCGTGTTCTTTTTGGGCTCCTTTCGTTCGAGTATATATCCTTTTGGTCCTGCACGTTTTTTCGGCTTTTCCTGCTGCTGCTGCTGCTGCTACTTCCACTGTTGCTGACGCATGACGTAGGTGTCTAGACTTGCTAATGTTTCCTCTCGCCATTGCAGCATGCAGCTTCAGCTTCCGATGAAGTCGTAAAATCCATCCGCTGAATTATGCTGCCTCAATTTTTGACCAGTTCCAGGAGCAAGTCAGGATCTCACTGGGATTTCGCTTTAAGAAAACAAAACTTGTACTTTGAGTGCTTTAAGTTGAAGTTCTTTTCTTTTTCTCTCACTCTCTCTTAGTAGTTCCTGGGACAGCCACTGACATACTTCCCTTGTAAACCAACTTGTAATATATTCCCACGCCATTTCGTGTCAAGAGTATATGTGTGCAACACACAGGGATACAGGGACACAGGGATACAGGGACACAGGGTTACAGGAAGAGAAAGGCATCGTATGTGTGCCGCAACCACATTTTTACTGTGAGCAGAGAATTGCACGTTTGTGTTCCTAGATTACAGCATTGTCTAGCTTTTCCCGACCTCCCGGGACTGGGGGACTCAAGTGGACTCGGTGCCAGCCATGTCTATGGCTTTATTTTTACTATACATTTCTGTGTCGCCGCGTACACCGTATTCTATCCAATTTCTTTCTTGCTTTTTTACGGCACTGCCAGGCCATCATAAACTGGCATAAAGAAGAGCAAAGCAGAGATGGGCAGGGAAAAGCGTTGCAGGGAGCCAGGGAAATGTGGGCAGTGTGAGACAGGCGGAATGAAACCAAAAGCGCAGCGCAGTAAAATGAAGTCTAAACTAAATCCCACATAAGGTACGAACGTGCTCAACACAAATGCCAGGTGCTTACACATCCACAACACACACACACACACTCATACACACATTGCTACGGCCTGTTTGCCGTTTACCTTATTGGATTTTTACTGTGCACGCGGAAAAAAAGAAGCCCAATATAATATCAAATTCATATAGCCAAAGTTGTTGCATTTTAAATGGAACTGTGTCTGTTTGTCTGAAGTTAACAAGACAGCAAATACACTGAGCTTTTAATTTGTAGCGTATCTTTAAGAACTTGTAAGGGATTTTGGAACAGAAAGTACTTGAAAAGGGTTCCCAAGTAGCTTAACTTTTTGGGGACTGAAAACAATCGATTTTACAACTTTATATCTGTGAGAATTATGTTTAAATAAGAATAAGGTTTCGTTTTTCCTTTGCTTTCACTGAAAATCACTAAAGAAAACTTTGTAATTTTCTCTCTCTGCAAACTCTTATTTGTACTTGGCCCATGAGCAAGCCTCCCTCCTGAGCAAACTTGCCCCAAAGCCAGAGCCAAATTTAAGCTTGGCCAACATTCGCCGCAGTTCACTTTGCATACATATGTCTCGTCTGCAGCGGCAACTCGTTTCCTTTCCCAACTCCTCCAACATTTGCCATCCTTTTGGCGTCCTTTTTGCCAGGCGCATTCGACTGGAAGCTGTTAAATATCGAACACATATTTATATGTAAAGGACATGCAGGTGGCCCAGGACATTGGCAAATGGCTTCGAGATTTGTGCGACAGTTACGGCTGCAGGGAGTGAGATAAGCTTGATGCATTGGCCCCAAAAACCTGGCCTTATACGTTCCGCAATCCGGAAAACTAGCTAATGCACAGGGAGAAAAATAATGTGACTTTTGAATGAACTCGGGCGAGGCAAGAGCTTGAAAGTCAATAAACAAATCTCTTTCTCTTTTCGAGTTTTGTGAAGTTAAGGAATGTTTCTCATTTCATTTGTCTTAATAAAAAACTGACATTGCAGGTTCAGTTTCCTTTGGCTGTGTTGAAAAGCCAATCATTGTTAAATTAACGCCATAAAAAATTACGCACTCCCTGCCACTCGGCTTCAATCTACGGTGAAGTGAAGTGGAGTCAAGCAACCGCAACGCAACTGAGACAGAATCAAATAAAAATTAAGTGCTGACTCAGTTCGTCTGGAGAAAAAAAAAGCAAGTGGAAGAAAAACCAAAGAAATGCCCCAGCGGAAGGAGGGAAAAACACAGTGTGCGGCATGCAAAGTGGAGATAAGGAAAAATGCTTCACAATAACAACAACAGTGGGTAGATGGGGCGTGGCAAGGCATTTACATGGCCGCAAAGCACAACAATGGCAGCAGACGCAGGAAAACAAAACTGTTGACTATGGGTGGAAAAAAGGCGCCATTCTCACATGTACATATATAGAGGGGAGTGTGAAACAAAAGTCGGACCAAAAACTGTGACCATATGCGAAGGTAAAGGCAGGTGTTTCCCAGCAGATAGGACTTCGAGGGGGGCAAGGATATATAGCACATACAGAGAGAGAGAGAGCAAGATCCTTGGCCTGGCTAAGACAAATGATGCAAAATACATTTGGAGAAAAGAAGCGGAGGCAAATTTTTCATTTACCTGCTGCCAGCCTCAGAGTTTTCCTCCTGCTACTGCTCCCACTCATTTTCCCCTCCATTTTCCCGCCATCCACAGCTGCCGTTGCCATTGGAAGTTAAGTATACGTAACGTAAACGCAAATTTAATGCTTGAAAAATTCGCTTAAATGGATTTAAGTGCCGCTTTCTTTTTGGCTTGCTTTCTGCCTTATTTTTTCGTTGGCCCAGCTTGTCTGCCTGCCTGCCTGTTTTATCTTGGCCAGCAGATAAATGAAAATCTTCAAAAAGATGAAGTAGCGGTCGAGGAACAGCAACAGAGGCCAGGCCCGAGAGTAGACTTTTGTGTTTATTGGGGCTACTTATCGACTGAGCACAGTCAAGTGAGCTTTTGGCCCCCCAACTTTGACCCCATTTGAGGCTTAGTCTTTGGCCACATTGATAACACTGGGGATTTGAGGGGGCAAAGCCAATGCAAAATATTCGCCAAGTAAACGAAATTAACAATTAGGATTCTGGGGAAAAAACGAACAGCAAATTTAATTTCAATTATAAATCAAGGTATTACCTAACAACTATATGTTTACTACCTTTTAAAACCTAATTATTTGCAAACAAAATAATTCAATGTTTGCTCCCAGAGTCATCCATCTTTTCTGCAACTTTTATGCCCGACTAAACCCTGTATATAAACGTAAAATAAAAGAACAACTCAAGTTCTCCCCTGGAAAGGACTGACTTTGTTTAGCTGCCTTTTATCTGGTTTATCTGGCCTATAATTTATATGCTGACGCATCATATAATCTTTATCCCAGGAACAGACAAAACGAGACCAAGGAGAAAAAAACGAAAAAGAAACCCTTAACCTTTGCCGCTGGCATTTAAATTTAGAGCCCTATCGTGGGGCGTAAATCGATGCGGAAACTGCCCCCCAACCTTATGCCAAGAGGGAAATTTACGATTTACGGGCACAGCTTGCCACGTTCAACAAGCCGCATACATTTTTATGGCCAATTAAATTCCATAAGCCAGGCTAACCGTAGCGAAAGCAAACGGCCGCGGCGCCTAAGGATATTTTAGTTGCTTCTGCCACTTTAAGATCCTTTCCCTATTTCGGGGAAATCGATGCGATTGAAGAACCGATTGTGGTCACCAATGAATTTTTGTGTGACAGTGCCTGTGTTAAGTGTGAAGTAATGAATATTAAAATGAAATTTCCAGGAGGGGGGGACAAGGACGAGCGCAGCGTCAGAAGCCACGCAGCCATCGACAGAGAGCAAATATTTTGACAGCTGTCAGTCGAGGGAAATGATTTCGCATTTCTGTTGCTTCCATTTTTTGCCGGGCTTCCTTTGGCGGCAAGGCAAGGCAAGTTTCCCGGGGAAAGCTCCACACTCCACTCTCGTAGGGAAAAGTCGAGGAGCTGTGGCACATGCCAATGCCAAACTGATAGACAGGCAGACAACGTGCGACTGCCGCCTGACTGCTCTTTTAACACCAATTGCTTTTTAATGTATGCACGTCCTCGTCTCTCTTCTCTCCGTTTAAAAAAATGTTTTAAAAAAAGGAAAATCGAGAGGAAAGAAGGCAAAGAAATTGATTGACATTTTTGGTGAGCAGACATTTCGTCCTATTTTATATGCAAATCAGCAAGATACACACATACGGACACAGGACACACAATGTCCTGGCACACGAGCATGTCAACTGGCTTTGCGTTGACAGGACAATAATAACGTTAAAATGTCGGGCATTTATCGTCCCGTCGTGTTGCTCCTGTGGCATGGTTTTCTTATTGTTGCTCTGTGTGTGTATATGCTGTATTTGCAACTAATTACACAAGGTCCTTTCAGTTAGAAAAGCAGGTCAGGAGTCTCGGTCAAGTTTAGCATTCTTCCTTTTCAGTCTTTGGCTTCGGTTGTATTGACTCTGGAAAGTAATAAGTACTAATCAGCGAGCTTCGGTATTCCATTTTGTACAGCTTATTCTGTATAAACTCATAAATATCATCTGGCTTGGGGTAAATGTTCGAAAGATCTGCAAGAATAGTAAAGAAGAAGAGTTACCAGAGAGGAGCGAAGCTATCAATATGTCTTTACCATTATCAAATATAAATTTGGCAACCTTTTCACCCACTTTAATGGCCACCGCACTGGCATCCTTGATGGCTGGATACAGTGCTCCAGCATCCAGTCGCTCCTGGGATGTGGCATCGGCCAGTGTTCGTGCCACCACAGGATATAGGGAATCGGGCAAATGTCGGGCTAATGAAGTAATTGCACCCAATGCAATGCCAGGATATGTTAGACAATTGTTGGCCTGTGAAGGCTCATAACGTTTTCCATTTATCACCACCGGCGGAAAGGGGGAACCAGAACAGAACAAAACACGACCCTGCAAAGTAGGTACAATAATAGATTATTTATAGGTAAATAGGAAACATATCAAAACGTACCTCTGTATGGTAATAGGCCTGCTCTGCGGTGCACTCCGAGTTGGCAGTTGGATTCGAAAGAGCGAACACCGCCGGCAGTTCGTGATTCTTGGCCATCGCCTTGAGGACTTCCTCGGTGAAAATGCCACCATTACCTGTCGCTCCCATTAGTATCGATGGCTTCACTTTCTCGATTGTGGTCAGTAGATCACTGATGGCCTCCATGGGTTTGAGGAAACGTTTGGTCTGCTCGGATGCATCGGTTCTATCGGAGGTTAACAAACCATTTTGATCCTGCATATATATATTCTTTAACACCTCATCGGCCGGGACACCCCGCTGCTCTAACTCAATCACAATCATATTGGCAATGCCCATGGCGGCGCTACCAGCGCCTGCAAAGAGAAATTTGGTATCCTCGAGTTTTCGGCCAGTGATCCGTTCCACGTTGAGGAATCCCGCCAATCCGGTGGAGCCCGTTCCCTGTATATCATCGTTGAAGTAACAATAGTCGTTCTGATACATTTTCAAGAACTTCAGGGCATCGGGCGAGGAAAAGTCCTCGAAATGGAAGAAGACATCGTGGCCATAGCACTGCACCGCCGCTTCCATAAACTCCTGGACCAGTTCATCGTACTCGGCACCACGTACCCGGGGAATGCGGGATCCCACATAGAGGGGATCCTGGAGCAGGGCCTGGTTATCCGTGCCCACGTCGAGGCAAACGGGCATCAGCAGGGAGGGCGGCACACCGGCCAAAGCTGTATAGAGGACCATTTTTCCAACACTTATACCCATGGCATTGGCACCCATATCCCCCAGTCCCAGGACTCTTCCGCCATCCGTAACACAAATCGCTTGCACATTCCGTTCCGTCCAGTTGTGAAACAATTCCACGATATGTCCCTTGTCAAAAATACTAACATACAGACTGGAGGCGAACTGGAAATTCAATCCATATGTGTTTACCACATCGCCCATTGTCGGTGTATAGACAATGGGCAGCACCTGCTCAATGTTATCCCGGATAAATCGATAGTAAAGACGCCGATGGCGATTATGCAGCGAACTCAGATACGTGTGCCGATTGAGATTTGCTGGTCGTGCATCAAAGTTCGCCTTGATGGCCAACATCTGATCTTCCATGGTGCGCACCGTGCAGGGTAAGAGGCCATGGAGTCCTAGGCGCTGTCGCTCCTCCATGGTGAAAGCAAGGCCCTGGAAATGGGGAATTCAAGAAGATATAGTACAAGATTAAGACGAAAATAATTACTAACTAAGCATGCAATGCATTAGTTTTAGAAATTATTAGCATTATCTTGGGATTTTACTTTTGGAGAATAGTTGGGGAGGGTTTCGTCACCTTATTTCGTCTGCCATCTGTAATAATCCTCCAGTTGGGTCGCGTTATATGATCCATGTCATCATTATAGGTGATTCCCCGGCGAACAATTACCAGCGGTCGGAAGGAATGATGCCAAAGAGTCCTTAGCAGAGGACCCAGGCATGTCATGTCCTTTATGACCATTGTGAGTGAAGCAACCTAAACAATTTTCCTAAATTTTGAATTTCAATTATTTTTGGTTGTTTTTTTTTAGTAAGAAAATAATATGTACATACGAACAGTAGAAAAAACGGAACAACAAATGGAAGTGAAGTGGCCTACTTTTTCTTCTCTTGAGGCTTCTCTGGAGATTTCTTCTCTAGAGGTTTCTTCTCTAGAGGTTTCTTCTCTGGAGGCTTTTGATCATCAGGACAGGGATTTGGCTTAACATTTGGATATTTCCATGTCTCGGCCAGAGAGCTGCCATGTTCCAGTTCGTACGTGTTCTTGAGCAACAATTCACAGAGATCATCGGGCGGTGGACATCTTTGCGAAAGACCTAAAACCGTAAAGCATATACATAAGATCTTCTCTGAAGTTGTAGCTTGGTCTTACCATTATCAAATATATACTTGGCCACTTCATAGCCTATTTTAAAGGCCACATCCTTGGCCTTCTCCACCAAGGGATAGATATTTCCACTTTCCAGCTCCTCGTCGGAGGGGAACTTGGATAGCTCGTGGGCAGCAAGCAGGAAAATCTCATCGGGAATCGTTTGGGGCAAGCCAGTGAGCACTCCCAAGACCACACCAGGAAAAGCGAGACAATTGTTGGCCTGTCCGGGTGTCAGGCGTTTGCCATTGAACTCCACTGGCGGAAAGGGGGAACCCGCCGAGAAGATGGCGCGACCCTTAAATATATTAAGATATTAAAGATGTTTATACATAAATTTTAAAAGAAAATGTTAAACTTACATCTGAGAATTTGTAAGCCTGTTCGGCTGTGCACTCTGACTTGTTGGTGGGATTGGAAAATGCAAAGATACCCGGTCGATCGTGAGCTGCGGCCATCGTGCGAATGATTTTCTCATTGAATATTCCCGCCGCTGCTGTGGCACCCAATATAATCGAAGGCTTGATCTTGTCCACCAGTTCCTCCAGCGACTTTATCGGCTCCATGTCCTTGGCAAATGCCTGAAGATCAGCCGACAGGTTCTTTTTCTCCTTGGTTATTAGACCATCTTGGTCGGTGATGTATATATTCTTCGCAGTGTCCTTTTCGCTGAGTCCACGGGACATCAGCTCCTTCTGGAGCAGTCCGCAAATACCCATGGCAGCGCTGCCAGCTCCCACGAAGAGGATCACATGGTCCTGCAGCGGCACCTTGGTCATCCGTTGGATGCCCAGCAAACCGGCCACACCCACAGCCGCCGTACCTTGAATATCATCGTTGAATTTGCAATAACAATTCTGATATTTTTTCAAAAACTTGAAGGCATTCGGTGTGGCAAAGTCCTCAAAGTGAATGAGAGTTTGACTCCCAAAGGTCTCCACCACGGACTGCATGAACTCATCGATGAAGGCATCATACTCCACACCCTTTAGCCGCTTTTCACGCAGACCTATATACAGGGGATCCTGGTGGAGCACAGGATTCTCAGTGCCCACATCCAAACAAATGGGTAGGAGTTTACATGGCGGAATGCCAGCCAAGGATGTGTAAAGATCCATTTTTCCAATTGATATGCCCATTCCATTGGCACCGAGATCGCCTAGACCCAAGATACGTTCACCATCGGTCACACAGATTGCAGATATTTCCCTACATTTCGGCCAATTGGAGAGAACCTGCGACATATGTCCACGATCGTGTTTGGTTATATAAAGCCCAGTTATTTCCCGATACAGCATGCCGTAGATAGTGCAGGCCACGCCCACCGTTGGTGTATAGATAATGGGCAGGACCAAAGCTATGTGATCGGATACAAATTGGAAATACATTCGCTCGTTGCTCTGTCGCATTGTCCTCAAATATCGATATTTTTCCACATTTGTCTCAAACGAATGGAAGTTGGTCTCAATGGCGTACATTTGATCCCGACAGGTGCGAACGGAGGCGGGGAGGAGACCATGAATATTCAACCTCTGACGTTCCTCTAAAGTAAAAGCCAGAGCCTTTAAGGGATAGGATTAAGATTCCCTTCAAGGAAGTCTCTGAAACGTATCCTACCTTATTGTACTTGGCCGAGAAAACAATATTCAATGGCAATCGAATTGTGTCATGTGTAGAACCTTCACGTTTTTGGTATTGCTCCAGATTGGGTTGATGTGTCCTTTGTGGTGTCTGGGCCATGGTTGTCAGACGGTTAAGTCCCCAGTTGAAGGTCCTAAAGAAACTCATCCTGCTAGTGTAAGAGTACACGAAGAATAATCCGAATTTGGCTCATTTGCAGTATCTAAATATTTCTGAGACCAATTGTCTGTATGTTAAAATTATAAAGAAAACTTAAACAGAAATGATTTACCTTTCAAAGCCTCTTTTGGCCAAATAAATCTTGAGCTTCTTAAGTAAATTTTAAAGGATAGCAATTACCAGAAAATAAAACTAATAAAATAAAAAGAAATACAAAACTTCTGCAATATTTCGGCCTAATTTGCATGAGGTCAGAAACACACTTCCTGTATCCTATCACTCATTATGCATTATTATGGAAATCTCTACTACTGTGTAACTGCTATTGTTGTTTCTGCTATTTTGGCCCGGCCATTAGGGGTTGTCAGTGTCAAATGCCCAATGGCCGGGTACAAAAGGAGCTGGCCAAGTCAACACAAATGACTCTTAGCGCGGCCATCAAAGGATTTGCTCAGGCTTTGCCACAAAAATAAAAACTGTCCTTTGTGTCCTCTCTCTCTGTGTGTGTTGTTTGTGTTTTGCTCCTGCTGATGTTGTTGTTTTTGTTGTCCTTACTAATTGTGCCAAATTAGTTGACAACTTAATGTCGTAAAAATTTCAGCTAAATGCCTCAATCTTTTGTTAATGACATTGACAGCGGTGCAACTTTTTGCGACTTGACTTTGGGGTTCCAGGAACCGAGGCCTTGGGCTTTGGGGCACGTGACATTGCTGGCAGGAGTACGTGACACTGTCAGTGTCAAATGTGCAAGGACATGGCCATGGAGCCGGTCGGTTTGGTCCTTCTGCCTTTATTGTATTTACTTTCTGGCCCCTTGGATTCTGTCCCCCATAAATTAACTTTCTCTTTGTCTTTGTTGTTGTTCTTGTTACTCTGAAATTATAATAGTTTAATTAGTTCATTTTGTGTTTTTTTTTTTGTTGTTGCTGACTAACTGCTGCTGACAGTTTCATTAGACTTTAATTAACTTCCAGAGCCTTTGCCTAATCAATGTACATACGGCGTATACTCAATCTCGTCTCTGTTTCGTCTACTTGCAGATCATGTCAAGGACTTTAGCTGTGGCCCGCTGCACTACAAAACTTTCTACATGGATGAGCGCAATAATGCGCTCTATGTGGGTGCAATGTAAGTATAAGTAATTAGGTTTTGGGAAATAAAAAAGAAAACCTCGCAGCACAGGATCATAGTAGGATGTCCTTTCCCACACTAATATTTCACTTTCAAACAAAGCTTTGAATTATTGATACACTTATTAAACTACTTCAATATACATTTATTTAAGGTCAACTGCAGACCCTTTTAATGTAGAAAAATTCCTATAATTTTCGGTCAACTTCTTTTTCCGGCTGCCGGCAATTAGAAAGTTCCGGTTTTTCGGGGGAAACAGGAAGGGGTTGTGTCCCTACTTGGCAAACCCGAACGCATTTGGGACTGCATATTTCATTTTTCCATGGCTCCTGGCCACACTGTCGGCATACATAATTATGAATTAATGCCACCACCGGCAGAGTCTGCCTCTCTGCCTCTGCCCCGGCGTCTGCTCATTTGTCTGTGGCAAGTTCAACAAGGCCACATTTTCACAGTTTGCGGTTTTTAGGAAGGCATAAAGGAAGACGAGCCCAGGGAAACTCTGATGAGGAGATGGTCGCCTAAGAGCGGGCAAACAAAGTAACCAAAATTACCACTTGACTCGTGGAGGAGACCCACGGAACCCGGCGGATCCACCACAGCCACAGCTGGCGGCTCTCGTCAGCGATTGCCATTGGGAGCTGCTCCTGGAGAGGAGCGGAAATGAAGATTAATGGTCTCCGGGTTGACGGGGGAGAGAAAGAGCCCCCCGAAAAAGAAAACTCGGCAGTGTCAGGAACTACATAAAACACACTGCCCCCCTCCGTTTGCATTTTCCTTTTTGTTTTTCCGCGCGGCGCCGCAAAAGTTTCGAGTGGTCGGATGGCTACGCTTAAAGCCGGGCCCGGCAATATTGCCACATTCGACATATCAATCAATCAGGGCACACTGACTGCAATAAGTACGCTGGCAGGCCTGACAGTTTTCGCACAGCAGGTGTGTGTGTGTGTGTGCGACAACAATTTTTCAACCCGAAAACATATAAAAAAAAAGAAAAGCGAAAGGCGGGAGGGGAAAATGTCAATGAGCTTGAGCTTACGGAGGCCAGACAGCTGGCAACTGGTGCCGGCATTAACTTATCGCATGAGGTGGCACGAGTTTGGGATTAACTCGAGTGTCGGAGGGCCTGACAAAGTTTTCCTCTTTACCATGCTAATTCATTTCTTTGTCTTCTTGGCTTTTCTTTTTCCATCCAGGGATCGCATCTTTCGTCTCAATCTGCGCAACATCAGTCAATCGATTTGTGAGGTAAGATATGGTTTAAGAATAAATGGTATTATCTTTACAGAAGCAACTAAATAATAATTGCAGTCTCTTGACCTAAATCTGATGTCCTTTTGGATTGAATTCCATTTCCCTTGAATATTATTCATGCTAAACTCAATATATATATAAATGTAGTGGAAAAACCTTTAAGCCTCTGCTGCATTTGTGAGTGACCAACTTGTCACTGACAGCCAAGCAATTGCACTTTAATGATTCCATCTTCAACTATCAATATCCGCCCCTGTCCGTTCAACCGTTTTCCGCCACTATCCTTTTTATTTTTTTGTGTCATCCTTGCGTCCTTGCAAGGCGGCAGCCCAGTGCACTATCGCCACCTCCTGAGACGTAGCAAATGCTTTTAACAGCAATTATTTGTGCTGAGTTCTGGGTGGGCGGCTTGCGGAGGGGCGATGGCCAAAAGGAATTCCATTTGAAGCCAGCAGCACTTAGACTTGCCCGGTGCCTTTGGAGCGGCAAAAAGGACTGACACTTTGGGCAAGTGGAAATAAAAGTGGAAAGTGCATCCTCGCAAGCCACCGGATATTGTGTCTATATGTCGGCATAAAAATTGTCAGTCGATGGCTTTTTCGCCCCCGTCTCCCTCCCACTCATTGATTTGTGGCTTTCACTTAGGCAAAAGTATTTGCAGAAAGACAAACTCCAAAAAGTAGATTCATTGTCGATTCAAGTGCCGCTTAAAAAACAACAGGGAGAGCTAGAGACAAAGTAAACGAATCGAATTAAATAAACAAATGTCCAACGTGAGTCACATAATAAAAGAAAAAACAAAGTAAAATACTGCGAGGACATGCGAGTCTACCAAAAATGCTTTTTTTGGCGCGTGCCTTCGGTTGAACATTCGCAGCATCGAATTCCAGCACGGTTTCAATAAACTTGGCCAACATAAATTTCAACTTGATGCCATTTTTCATTCTTCCAGCGCGATGTCCTCATATTGGAGCCCACCGGCTCGGATATTCTCAACTGTGTGTCCAAGGGCAAGCGGGAGGTGAGTCGATAAATAATTGTTATTAACCATTGTATCCAAATCCAAAGCATGTGCAAAATTTTGTCTATCAATGAACCGAAACTCATGCCACGGCCTCGCCCTTTTCCATTTCCAATTTGCATTTTCGAAACCACGCACACACATGAAAACAAACCCACTCTTTGATTTCATTAAACCTATGATTTTCTAACATTTACTACAATTACACAAAAACCAAAAAACAAAAATCAAATTCACTGGAAACCTGCATATTGGGGCACTTGACAAGAAGGTGGAGTGCCGCAATCACATAAGAGTTATTCAACCGATGAATTTCAATGGACAGAAGCTGTATGTTTGCGGGACCAATGCCCACAATCCAAAGGATTATGTAATAAATGTAAGTGGAATGGAAAAACTTAATTAAAGAAATGGTTATATGTATATCCCCCATATAGTTTATTGAGTATTTCCAAAGTTTAACATTTATATTTTTCATTTGGTTTTATAACAAATACCTTTAGTTTAAGAATCGTTCTTTAAACAACTTGACTGACTTTTCATGTAAGCTTAAAATGAATATGTAAGCCTTCGTATAAAATCCCTTTCGCATAAACCAAAAACTTGTATTTTACCCAAAAATTGAAAAGGCAAAATAAGGGATTTTTCCGAGGAACCTCATCAATGTGCCTAATTGTGAATGTCAGTCAAGTTTTGAAGTTCATTTCAGCCAGCGGGTGGCCAAAAATTAAAGTCAACTAATGCGCTTTTCTCCCGTTTCTCCCCCTTCTTACACCCCACATTCAAACATCCAAAACATTCAAACCAACCCAATATACCATTTTCAACCCTTAGGCAAACTTAACACATTTACCCAGATCCCAGTACGTGCCCGGCATCGGCCTGGGCATTGGCAAGTGTCCCTACGATCCCGCTGACAACTCAACCGCCGTCTATGTGGAGAACGGAAATCCCTTCGGTTTGCCCGCCCTGGTAAGTTCAGACCCGAAAGCGGAAGTGGAATAAAAGTAAGGATAAAGGAAGGAAGGCGCACAAATAAAAAGGAAAAATGTCAATTGTAATAAAATTACAAAAGTAAAGGCCCCCACTGATGATGGGAGGAGGGAAAAGTTGGCAAAAGTTGTGTTGCTTTGGGGATGCCGAGGCAGGAAAAATTTTAAAGACAGAGAAAGACGGTAGCAAAAAAGGCAGCAATAAAGCAGCTGAAATTAAATTAGAGCAGGGCACGCACACATACATATGTATATATATATAGACATGGAAGGAGGTACAGAGAGGGAGGCACGTGCGTACACTTTGTGCGTAATTGTGTGCGTGCGTGCCTTGGCTTACTGGGCGTATGCGTGATGTTCGGGGCCTTATCATCAGTCGCCGCTTGCTAACCACGATTGTGTCTCTCGTTCTTGTTTCCGGCTGTCCCGACTCTCCCGCTTTCCCTGGCTTTCTCCTAACACAATCTGCAGTACGCCGGCACGAATGCAGAGTTCACCAAAGCGGATTCCGTCATATTTCGCTCGGACCTTTACAATCTGACAAATGGACGCAAGGAGGCCAACTTCAAGAGAACCGTCAAATATGACTCCAAGCTGCTTGACAGTAAGTTAAAGTCATACGAAATAATTTAAGAGATATCTATAATCAAAGTTTATGACTTAAAAATTAATGGAACCTTCTTCTCTAATCCTTTCAGAACCCAACTTTGTTGGCTCCTTTGAGATTGGAGAGTTTGTTTACTTCTTTTTCCGGGAACATGCCGTGGAGTATATCAACTGTGGCAAGGCGGTGTATTCCCGTGTGGCAAGGGTTTGTAAAAACGATCGTGGTGGCAAATATATGATCAGCCAGAATTGGGCCACTTACCTGAAGGCTCGCATGAACTGCAGCATATCCAGCGAGTTTCCCTTCTACTTCAATGAGATACAATCGGTGTACAAGATGCCCTCGGATGATACCAAATTCTATGCTACATTTACAACGAATACAAATGGTCTGATTGGATCGGCAGTATGTAGCTACGATATAGGAGATATTAATGCAGCCTTTGATGGTAAGTTTTTGTTTTAAAGAATATTGTATTAAAATAAGAAAACAAAGGTAAGAATTTATCACAAGGTAGTTTAATACTTGATTCGAAAAAGATTTAAACACTAAAGAAAGGAATTATTTAGATTCTTATAATAATAATTATTCTCCTTATAATATTTCATATTCCAAGATCTAGTTTAGTAACATGACCTTTTTTCCTTCGAGTGTGGTTACTGTGTGTATGTGGGCTTGTGTGATTTATTGCACTGTCCATAATTCTTGAGGGGGGGATTCCCATTTCGCCTGTGACTGCGGATGAAATTACGCGCACAGGTGGAGACCTTGTCCCTGGAATTTGAGCGTTAAATGGTGCGCATTGAATTGATGGTGGCACCACCCACAAGACCTTTTTGCCACAGCTACTGTGGCACACATACACACTGCTCCTCCTTCCTTTATTGAAACAGTCTCACATTCGCCACGAATTTCTTGCTTTAACTTCGTGGAACTCGCTGCTTTCGGTTCAAGTAATGAGTACCATGGCCAACACTTTTTTTTTTGTTTAACCCAACTTGGCCTGGAAAGTTCATTAACACCGTAAAGTTGCTCTCTGTGTGAGTGTGTGTGTGTGTGTGTGTGTGTGTGTGTGTGTGGAGCGGTGCCAAGACTGACAGGCAGACAATCAGGCAGACAACACACAGACGGAGCCACAGGGCAAAGTGCTCGCAAAAAATCTGGCATACACTTAAAATTCATTACGAAAAGTTTGCGGGCATGTTGCACAGACAGCAGAGAGTGTGATAAAAAAAAAAATGAAATAAAAATAAAAATAAAAATAAATGTGGAAAGCCACAGCAATTAATTATGGCAACAAACGATTATGCAGCCGCACTCCAAAAGGCCAGGCTATGATTCTTAAATTGTATTTTATCCTTGACAGGTCATGCCTCTGAATGGGAATGGCCAGGACTCTGAATATGATATACAGATGCCTTGGCACTATTAAAAATTAATTAAGTTTGTGCTTAAAGAACATTTTAAAAGTTAAATGAATATGCATCATTGCATTCAAAACTTTAATTTAAATAAGAACAAGAAAGGGATCCAGCTTTGGTAAGAAATAGATTATACATATATCCTTGCAGTTTTCGAGCGCTACTGACTAAATTATAATACCCTGCAGGAATCTAATAATATATAGGGCTCTTTTTAAGGTAGCTAGTAAAAAACTAGTAAGTAATCTAATAATTTAAAGGACTATTTCAAGGATAACTAGTAAAAACCTTACAAAATATATGTATACTGCTAGTAATAATAAATTAACCTTTGCTATTCATGAAATGTTAATGCAGAAACCACTTGGCATATGCATGAAAGCCGTGGCAATGATTCTTAAATTGTATATTTTATTATTTACCAAATGCGAGTGCCACAAATCAGCACTCGCACACCGCACTGACACACATAAATTAAGTGCAGTACTACTGCCCGGCACTTAACTCCGCACTGACACCTCCATCTCTCTCCCCTCTTTCCCCATTTCCAGGCAAATTCAAGGAGCAGGCCACCTCAAATAGCGCCTGGCTGCCCGTGCTGAACTCCAAAGTGCCGGAGCCACGTCCGGGAACTTGCCACAACGACACCGCCACGCTGCCGGACTCCGTGTTGAATTTCATCCGCAAACATCCGCTAATGGACAAGGCGGTCGATCATGAATTTGGCAATCCGGTCTTCTTCAAGCGGGACGTCATCCTCACCAAGCTGGTGGTGGACAAGTAAGTGAGAGCCGTATTCATTAGCGTTGCCAGCCAGCCAGCCATTCTGGCACAGAGCCAGTCGCATGGGAGTATCCTTGTTGACATTTGTCGGGTTTATACGAGTATATATGGGGTTACACATGCAGAAAATAGAGATATTAAAGAATTCAAGCTCATGTTTTTATAGTTTGATTGATTTTGAAAGCATATTATGCTGTAAACCATTCTTCAAGGCTTGATATTCTGGCTTTACTAGATTCTTATCCTCTTAAATGCTTTCGAAATACCCTTAAACGAGTATATATATATATATATATAGTTTGATTGATTTCAAAAGCGATTTATGCCATAAACCATTCTTTAAGGCTTGATATTTTGGCTTTACTAGATTCTTATCCTCTTAAATGCTTTCTAAATACCCTTAAACATAATTATCTCTATTATTATTTTGTGTGTAATGCACAGACTCCTGGGCTGGCTCTGTCCTGATATTTTGTTCTGGCAGCGAAAAATGTCTTGTCTTGGCCGGAACTTGTGAGCAAAGTGCCGCAGGATATGTTTTCAGTTAAGCGCTTGCCACTGACGCTGCTTTTCTTGGCTTTCTTTTTTTGTTCTCCCCGCCAGGATACGGATCGACAAGCTGAACCAGGAATTCCTCGTGTACTTTGTGGCCACAACCTCGGGCCACATTTACAAGATAGTTCAGTTTATGCACTATGGCCAGCGGCACTCAAACCTGGTGGACATCTTTGAGGCCTCGCCGCACAACGAACCAATCCGGGAGCTGACCCTTAGTCACAAGACGGGCTCCCTGTACCTGGCCACCGATCATCAGGTGAAGCAGATCGATATGGCCATGTGTGCCCGTCGCTATGACAGCTGTTTCCGTTGCGTTGCGGATCCTTACTGCGGCTGGGACAAGGAGGTGAAAGCCTGTCGTCCATACCAGTTGGGTTTGCTCCAGGACGTGGCCAACGAGACGTCGGGCATTTGCGACACGAGTGTGCTGAAGAAGAAGGTAACCTCGTCCTATGGCCAGACACTGCATCTTTCGTGCTTCGTCAAGATGCCGGAAGTGCTGAGGAAGAAGCAGACCCGCTGGTATCATCATTCCACGGAAAAGGGACGGTAAGTGCTCGCAGGATTTTCACATTAAATATATCCTTGAATAATCAGAACCATTGCTTGGCATCCTTGAAGTAAATTTAATACCGAAGAGACTATTGTCCTCTGATTATTCACGGTTAAAAACCTCACACTCACTCATCTATCTGAATCGAAAATCTCTGGGAAAATTGAAAGCGAATAATGTTTTGGGGATGTGGGGAAAATGGGGAAAAGCGTAGAGAGCTGCTTCATCTCACTTAGCTGTGCCAATGCTGCGGTAAATTGACACTTTAAAATGTGCTCCCAGACTGCTTTTTGGCATTGCTGCCTGAAGTAATGGAAAAACTTTCAACTTTCGACGCGACTGACGGTGCGACCCAATAATAGTCGCAGCATTCGCCAGTCAGAGTTTGATATTGATTTTTATTGTGCGTTTCCAATGCGAATGCGAATAGAAAATGGAAAATCCCCTCTTGCGCCATATCGCAGCAGCCATCTCTATGGCCATCTCGCTATCTCTGTCTCACTGTCTCCCATCTCTGTCTGGCAGCTACGAGGTGCGCTACACGCCCACCAAATACATCGAGACGAATGAAGGCGGACTGGTGCTCCTGGCGGTGAATGAGGGCGATGGCGGACGCTATGACAGCTACTTGGATGGCACCCTGCTCTGCAGCTACGGTGTCACCGTGGATGCCCACAGGTGAGTCACACACAAATAACGTAACAAGGACTCCACAGTGTTGCCTACTTTCAAGTCCTTTGGGAGTTAGTTTTAGCTAAAAATGTTTCATTTCATATTATTTATTATGTGGAAATTTATATATTTTGTAAATAGTATGATATTGTTTCAATCCTATTTTAAGTGTTATTTTTTTGAGTAAGTGAAAATTTAAAAATTCCATAACTATGTCAAAAATGCATTAATTTCATTAGATTTTATTAGCTAAATAAATCTGCAAGCTCTATTTGAAATTAAAAAAAAATTAAAATTTTTGTCGATTTTTGAGAATGTTTACCCCTGATAAGAAAATGAAAGAATTTTGAAAAATTATTTATCTTCCGAACAATGCTATTTCGACTCAACTTTTAATGCTGATCTAGAATATTTAGGATTTATGGGGTCGAAAAAGACTCTTTCATCAAGAAGACCATTATAAGGACTTTAGATCAATATTTTTATATGGTTTATTTTTTGGGCATATCAAAGTTTTCGAAATATCATAACTTGGCCAAAAATGGATTAATTTTCAGTTTAACATTTAAAAAAATTAAATTTTTATCAATTTTTAAAGGGTTAACTTTATGTTGTTTTGAAGAAATTAAAAGAATTCCCAAAATTTTTTGTTTACCGGACATTATTAAGAATATATATGATTTATAGGCTCGGAATTGACTTTTTCACATAGTTTTTTAGTATTTTATGCTCTTAAGAATACCTGAAATATTTGCATTCTTTGAGTCTATATTTATAATTTTTTTTGACAAAGTAAAAATAACTAAGTAAAGTACAATAACTAATTCATATTTCCCTTTCAAAAAGCTATTCTGTGTTAGTTTTTATTAGGTTCATAGATCTGTACAAATTATAATACGAAAGGATAATAAACTTTACAAGATTATTATGTCTAAAAAGGACTCCCTTTAAAATAGCTAGCAAGACAACCCTGTGGACCCATCAACTCAGCCTAATTTCCGTGAAATGTCAATAACTTATTGTTCACTTTTCCCCCACTTCAGATGTTCGCCGCCATCGCAGAAGCAGGACTATCAGAAAATCTACTCGCACTGGTGCAATGAGTTCGAGAAATACAAATCGGCCATGAAGCAGTGGCAGGCCAAACAGGAGGTGTGTATCCTTGGAATCCCTGGGAATAATACGTATAATTTTGGGTTGGGCGCCAGCTGCCGTTAATTGTTTTAATTAATTTTTCAGGCGTCAGGTGTGTGGGGGTGCTTTTTGAGTTTTAATTATTTTGTAATTTGCTAAGGCAGAGATCTAAGTGCTTTCTCTCTCTCCCTTTTCGTTTCGTTTTATTAGCAATGCGGCCTCAAGGATAAAGCAGGACCAATCAGCAGCAACGACGGCAAGCACGTGAACGATGTGTTCAGCAACGATGCCCTGGTCTGACCCAGAAGTGAGTATCCTTGAAATAACCAACACATGCTATCTCAGCCCCTGCATAATCAGTGAGTGTGCCGACAAAAAAGAAAATCATTCTGCAATCAAGAATGTGAAAGTTGAAGAGTTGAGGAGAAAGTAGTACAAAAATCAGGAAAGTAGGGCAATGCATGTATTTTATTTGTAAAGTCAAAATATTTATACTTGAATTAAGACAGGTTCTTGTGCAGAATTCTCTAGACTTTCAAGTAAAATATAAAACTTTTCACATTCCTGAGTGTCAGAATGATTTTTCGGTGCTGCAAAACCATCATCACCTGTCCCACCATAACCAGTAGCTGTTAGTTTCTGCCACTAGACCCTGACGAAATCTAACCAAAAAAAAATGTCCTTTGTCCAATCCACCACCCCCCTGCCGCTGCCGCTGATGCCCCCCGTTCGAAATCGAAATGTCCAGCGTACTTGTACAGCTTTGAATTTCTGTCGTCGTCGTCGTCCTCGGAGGGCGTTTCCATCGCCCACCGCACATTGTACATTTTCGTGTTCGTGCTTACCATATTTGCTCGCTTCTAAAGTTTCTAGTTAAAATGTAAATGTAAGTTGGAGTGCCCATGTAAGACAACCCACACTTTCCACACTCTTCAAACCGGAAACCAAACAACAAAGACTCCGCATCTAACACATATATCTAAACATATTTGCTTTATTTTGGGCTGCATTTTGTTTGCAGGCGCAGAGGAGCAAAACCAAACAGAGTGAGCCACCCAAGAAATCTGTGTGGAAAACATCTACGAGAATGTGACAAGGGACGACGAAAAAAACTAAAAGGAAAAGCAACCAAGAAAGCAAAACAAAAAACAAAAAAACTATAAAAAAGATGGAAGGAAAAACCACTACAAAGACTGAAATTTTTAAGCTTTTAAAATCGACAATATTTCCAATAATTTCGATGCGTTTATATAATATTTGGTTTTTTTTTGTGTCATTGTTCCGTTTCGTTTTTAAAGATGTTGTCAGCGTCTAACTGAATGATTTTCGACATATTAACTAACTGATATACAAAGATGGAGTAAACGAGAAAAGTTACTAGCAAAAGGATCCTGCCATAAGTCAAATGGAAATTACGGTTTTACACTCACACAGAAAAAAAAAACACTCACAAACACTATTTCTACTTTGAGCTAAGGTTAAGGATATTCTAATCTAACAGATACAGATACAGATACAGCAACAGATACAGATACAGACACAGATGGAACTGCAACCACCTAAGCGAGAATCTGACCCAAGGCAAAAGAAGTATTATTAGCTCACAGCTGATGACGCAACGATTTGATTTTGATTTCAATTTATTTCGGTTTCCGGGTTGGGAAGATCTTAAACGAATTTGTATATTACTTAGCGATATTTGTTCAAATAAAACTAGCATAAGACACAAAACCACACACAGAACTAGCTGCCCCTGTTTAGGTCCTAGACAAGTACGGATACGGAACCAACTTATAACGATAGCCAAAACAAAAACCGGAAATAGACGGAGGAAACGTTGGACGCACAGTACACATAAATACATATGTATGTATAATCGGCGGCTATGGACTATAGCTTAGGGCGATTTTGTAAATAGAAGGGCTTTAGTCGATAAGTGAATCAAGCATTAATTTAGTTTTTTACTCGACTCCGATTATGATTTAAATTTCTCGATTCGGCATTAACTCGCTCTTGTATAGATGGTGCGTTGGCCTAATGTTTACGATAAGCAATACATAGTTACATATTTATATATAAATACATATTATATGCGTATGCGTAATCTAAAGACATAAATAGTTATAGATACATGAAGTTACTGCATTGAGACCAACATGCTCATGATTACTTACCCGAACGTAGCCTAGGTAAGTTGGTGTGGCAAATAGATACGACTCTTTTGTTTTGTATTAAATACTGTCGAAACTTCATTCACGCACATACCCCCCGGAAAATCACTTAAAACTGCCGCGTAATATACATATATAGAGCAAAGAATCTTGGAAAAACTAAACGCATCACAGAACTCGAAACCAAAATAGGCATTTGCAGCAGAAATGTTTTAAATTAAATGAAAAAATCGAAATTGCAGGCATTACTTACTCTCACCCCAAGCTAAACACAAACACACACTCGAAATATTTTTCTAAAGATTTTCTCGGCAAAATTTTAAATGTTTTCATATTAGAATTTACCCAACAAGAAACGGATAGAAAACATTTTAGCATTCCAATTGTACATGAACTAAACCAAAACCACAGGAGAAAAACTATTCAAAAGTATATAAATATATTAAAAAGCTACTAATGCTCTGAGCTTCTAACTTTAATGAATGAAATGTTTTTGCGTTGCCTTCAGTAGAGTTTTTTCGTTCGAACGTTTATTGTAAATAATTTGAAAGATTATGTGAAATGTTTTGTATGACAATCACATGATGTTGAGTAAAAGAAAAAAAAAAAACAAACAAATAGACGCAAAACAAATGAAAACTCGGAAAAAACACGCAGAAAAAATGAATCAAATTGCCATTGCGGCAATTAAAGATGAAAATTAATATTAATTGAGTACTTAACGAACAATTCATTGTAAAAATATTAATACAAGGTAAAAAATAAATATTCGCGGTAAATATATATATATATATATATATATACATAAATAGATAAACGACTTTTACAAAGTATTCATACAATAAAAGAAAATTTGCGCTTACAAATAATTCGAATACGCCCAATTAAAGGTTCCATTCGAACAATTTCAAACGCAGATTGATCTACGAGCTATCGAAATATTTCCGAAAAACAACAAAAATCAGAAAAACGCAAAACAGAAACAAAGTAAGAAAACAAATTAGGTGTAAACACATTAAAAGTAAAATGCAGTAAATAAATGTGATAAGATTCTTTAATAAGCAAACAATTCAAGTGTGGTCTTTTATTTCGGGAGGCGACTGTAGAAAGGGGAAATCAAGGAACTCAATTCAAGTCCAACTGTACTTGCTCAAATTCGAATACGAATTCGAATGCAATGAGCTCAACAAAGAATATGAGTGGAATGAAAGCGATAAGCCGGGAATCTGAACATTAATCTATAAAAATATCGACTTTGGAGTACCCTTTTCGAAGCTGAATTTATTTATAAAAGGTAAGTAATACTATTTTTGGTTTTAATTTATTATATATGAGGTACTTCAGTTATTTATTATTCATATATTTTTTAGAGTAAATAAGGATTAAGAATGGCACAGAAAAGAAACTATTATTTCTTGAACCTTTGTAAATAAATCTTTTTCTGAATTTATTTATTATACATTTTTAAACTCTCCCAACAAACTGATTCAAAAACATTTATACCCTCAATTTAAAGGGTATTCAAGCAATACAATAACACATGCTTAAACCAGTAAACATACATAATTTAATCTCACCACAGAAAAATCAAGTTGACAGTAATAAACAAACCGCTGAGCAAAGAAGAGCTTGCAAAAACGAATTACTAAGAAATGTTATAAATTGAAAATCAGAAATAATGTCAACTTTAGAGCTTGTGTTACAATTTCTCCTTCTTGGAGTTGTGCTAGTTTCTGGACATTTTCGCTATTCCAGGGCAGTGAAATATTCCCCAGAGCTGATGAGCGAGTTACGAGACTTTGAGAAACTGATACCAAGTGCCACCATCGGTGAAATCGTCGCCGAGCATATGATTACGGATTCCGGCTTTCGCAAAGCCGTAAAATTTTTGCGCAGCTCCGATTTCAAGAGGTTTCAACAACGCACAGAGTCTCTGCCCGAAGTTGTGGATCTGATTAATTTTGTGCATCTCAACGATACGACGACCTTGAAAAAGAGGCGAACTCATTGGTATCAACACAAGCATCATCATAATTATTATAAGAGTCATGACCTCGGCAACCGGCATCGTCGATCGCTGGACAATTCGATTAGCGAGGAACTTGTCTTTGTTCTACTTCAGCCGGTCGCAGATACAAGAACTTTGGGTTCTTTCACTAGCTTCGTTCAGGAAATACTCACTCATCTGCCCCGCGATCGGTTTGTGGCTCTGATCAAGGAGAAACGCCAGAAAAGTGCCATATTTGCCAAATTCTATCAGGCCCTGAAGAGTCCGGAATTCAAAGCCAAATGTGAAGCCGCTTGGGTAAGAGTTCTAATCTTTAAAAGCAATGAGTCACTAGTAGGTCAACAGTAAATCATGCAAGTCATAGCAATAATTTTATGAGATGCCATTGACTTGGTGAACTATAAATATATATTAAAAACACCAATTAGATGTTTATATTTTCAAAGCAATTATCATTTTAAAGACAGCAACATATATATTCAAATTTAATTATTCTTATTTGTTATATTTGTTTGATTTAAAACACGCTTTACACCCCCTTTAATTACAGACCACTGCGAATGTACAAGGCGTGATTAAGGAGCTGTCAGGACATCAAATCAATGCACAGGATCTCAAAGCAATTGGCTACGAAGTCATCTCGTGGGGTCCAGCTTAGCCAGCAAATTCCTTTGTTCTTTGTAGAATAACAATAAAGTCTGGCTCATGTCTCTCAGATATTGTTTTCAGTGATTGAGTGCCGGAAGGACAGAAGAGTCAAATGCACCTGATGCGCTATCAAAATATGTGGCTAATGAAAATTCCAGCCACGCTCTCAATTCAATGCCAAAAAGCTAGCCGATAAACGATCCCCGGAAAATGCAGTAAAAAACCTAAGCAAATAATTCAATGTGACAAAGAGGAAAACCGACACACACACACACACACACACGGGGCCGGGTTGCATTTCATTTGTCGTATTGATAAATGGAATGGAATATCATGCTTTCGCTCAGACGCACACCTGTCAAAGCCAGACGTCACACACACTCATATCCACACACACACACTCAGTTGAGTAACATTCGGGCAATTTAATTTGTCTGCATTTTTGTTGTGGCTGTGTTTTCTACCATTTTATGGTGGTTGTTTCAATTATTTTATTGTTGTATGGCGATAGTTTGGACTGCAGTCACTGGAGAATTCCAAGCCACCTGAAAACACCCACACACACAGGCGTTACACACTCAGGAAAAAATATAAATTAAAATTGTAGATTTCTCAAACATTTTAACAGGGGATTTTGACTAATTTAAACTAAACAAGCCAAAGCTTATTAAAAGAATACGTTTAAAAAACAGTATGTAAATTTTAAGGAAGTTAACCCAGTATAAGATTAACTAACAAGAATATAAGTAATTTGATATTAACTAGGACAAAGACATGTAGAAGAAAACCTTTCTAAATTACAAATTATATTATTGATATTTCATTTTAACACCCTAGAAATGTATTATAATATAACACATCTTGATTTATCTCTGTCTCTCTATTTGTCCCTCTCGCTGTTTCTCCCTTTCTCTCTCTTCTTCTCTCTCACTTAAGCTCTATCTTATTAAGTATGTTGATCTCTCTCTGTGTATCTCAAGAGATATCTCTTTCTCTCCATGTCTCTGTCACTATCTCTAGAGTTATCACTTGCGCTCTCGCTCTCACTTTCTCTGTTCTCTTTCCTCGAAGAGTATAAATACAGCCGCGACCCTCGCACTGGCTTCATTCAGTCCGAGGAATTCCCAGTGTTTACATCGAAAGTGATAATGATTGTGCTTACCCTTCGACCCAAAAATATCAGCTGACCAATACATCTGGATAACTAGGAAGTAGCTCACTTCGATAATTCCATTTAAAGTCGAATTAAGTAATGACGAAATACTGTACTGCAGTAAGTCTTGATCTTTACAATTAAATCTTGTAATATAGATGCTAAAGGAGGGATCAGGCCTAGGTCTAGTATCAGCTGTGCTAGTTTTGCATTTATTTTTTGAAAGAATTCTCTTAAGAGAAGAAGAAACCCATTTCTTGAATTTAATTTAAAAATGTAATAATAAACTATTACTGAATATTAATACCTTATCCTTACGATAGTTTCAAAACTGATGCAGACTTTGTCGCCAACTTTTGCTTACATTATTATAGTTTCAGTTAGTGAAGGAGTCGTTATTTACCATATAATTTAATTATAAACTATATATTTTCTTGATTAGCATGGATGGATATCATTTTTGTATTTTATTTTTCCCTAAATCAACCCATTTCTCTCAGTGTCCTACGTGTATAGGTACGAACTGCCACACAGCATGAGTTGACACATGAAAATTGCATGCAATTAATTGCCCGCTGGCGTACTTGCACTCCGACTTGGGTTCGAATCGAAATCAATATGCGACGGACTGGGCCAACAACTGTTATTAGACATGATATGCCATGCAATTTGCCTCCCCCCCCCAACAACCTCTACCCCAATGTCCTTCGTTCCCTTTTAATAATGGTCTAGTGGCAAGTATAGGTTCTAAATGCTAAGCTGGTAGTAATTTTCAGACTCCGTGGTAGCAATCTTTCGCTCCTGCATGCAATAGACATCCTCGCCGTGTATACGATAGCTGGAATCATACATCTTTGACTTTATGTACTCGAGGGGATTCTCTGGACGCGGCCACATTGTTGCCAGGCCACGACGGAAGGCGTAGGTGAACACAGCCTCCGCCAGGTGCAGGCTGATGCATTGAATCTTTTTCATCGGCGGGAAGACATTCCGCATGGCCAAGTCTTTTGGCCAAACCATATGGGCCAAACGCTCGGCGGCCACGCAAAAAGTCTCGTCCGGAACGGTGGTAAAGCCCGCAAGCATTACGCCCAATGTGAGGCCAGGTAGTAAGATGTGGCTACTACAGTATCCCGGTTGATACATCTTGTTGGCATACTTGATGGGCGGCAGCTTTGATCCCGAGATGAAGACACATCGCCCTTTGGTGTAAGCAAAGGCTGCATCCGGTGTGCATTCAGCCAGACTTATGGGTCTTGACAAGGCAAAAATTATTGGTTGCTGAGCACTCTGCTCCATGGCCCGAAGGACATCGGGTGTAAAGACATTGGCCTGAGAGCAACCACCGACCAGGACATTTGGCTTCAACTTCTGTATGGCCTCCACCAATGTGGGAATGGGTTCATGGGGATTTGCGAACTCCAGCAGCTCCTCGGGTATGTTAGGTCTGCCGATCACAATTAATCCTTCGGCATCGCAAAACCATATCCTTTGCCTGGCGCTGGTCTCGTTGAGGCCCTCCCTCTTCAGATAGGCAATGCACAATTTGGCCATTCCCACATTTGTGAGATCAGCTCCATAAAACAGGATCATATTCGTTGTGAAGAGCACTCGCTTTACAGCATTATTACACACTATTATCGCGGAGAGAGCACAGGCGGCCATACACTGAAAGTCCACATCCACAATGCAATGACGCTCCCGATACATTTCCAGCTGCCTTTTGGCATATTGCGATTCAAAGTCCTTGCATAGGATCAGGGCACGTGACCCATACATTCGCAGAACCGCCATCGTGAACTCTTCAAAAAACTCATCGTAAAGTTTTTGTGGCGGACGACGCTCCTTCAATCCCATATAGAATCTATCCTTCAAGAGTTCTTCGTTATTTGTGCCCAAATCCAGCAACACACAGAGGCAAAAATCCGGATGAATCCCGCTATAGACCACATTCTGATGCATTACGGAGGTGAGGGCCGGCATCTGATTGATACCCAAGTCACCGAAACTCTGGATAGAAGCTCCATTGCTCACCACCAGGCAGCGAACGTGCCGAATTGGCCAATTGCTTAGCACCTGATGCACATGTCCCAGATCCTTGATGGTGATGTACAAGCCCCTGCCAATGGGACTCAGCATTTTGTTGTATTCAAGCAAATTGGGATAACTGGAGGCATCTATCATTGGCATATACAGTTCGATATCGCTCAGTAGAAAACGATAGAAGAGCCTGATATTCGTTTGCGACAAAACCATGATATATGCATATCTCTGCAATGGGCCACTCATAGAGGCCACAACTAATTGGCAGCACTTCACCTGCATGTCAATGGTTTGAACTGAAGCCGGAAGCAATCCGTGGATGGAAAGTAGTCGCCTTTCGTTGAACGTAAACCCCACTCCCTTGTTAAACTTGGGATTACTGAGCCCCGACCGACCACTGAAATGGGATTTTGGTGTAGCGGTATCGGTTACCCAGAAGGTATCCATATCCCGGGGCATATTGTCCAGCCTCTTGGTCATTTCAAAATCGGTCACACATTTTAGCTCGTACTCTGCCTTCTGCTGCTTCTCGGCCTTCTCCCGACTTGTTCTGGGTGTCGGGGGCATTATGTCCTTGTCCGGGGATCCTTTTTCAGGAACAATCTATATAGATGTGTCTGTGTGTGTATGTTTCTATGCTCAACAATAGCTGGGTAAGGTGACTTTGTATTTTGTGTGTTATTATGGACCTAACCGGGCCTGAACCTATATAGTGACAAAGATTACAACGCCTGCTTGTTCATCTCGATCTCATTTGCATGCACTGTAAGGATAATTAATTAGAGTTTAAGTACCAAAATAATTCATTGATTAAGTCAAGAGATTTCCTAATGTTAAGTGAAAAGATTTGATATATTATTTAAGACATTTAAAGGCTTTTCTTTAAACTTGAATGATCTTTCTTGGCTATGTACTTTTCCCTCAGTGTGGTAACCCAAAACCTGGACCAAATTTGAGACCGCATTCGACATATCTCTCTTCCATCCACATCCACAACCTCATCCACATCCACATCCATCCGTCCCACCGGGTATTATGCAAATTGTGTTGCGCACTTTGCGGCGACCTCAAACTCGTAGTGACATCCTAAAATGTCGCCACTTCCGCTTTGGATCTAGTTCCTCTCACCCTCCCCCTCGTTTTGGCGAACAAGTTTGTCAGAATTTTGATGCAAAATATCAACATTGAAGGGGAAGGGGAAGGGTAAGGGGAGGGAGCCTGAGAACAAGTGGTGAGTGAACATCAAAAGCCCAAGACCCCGCCGAAGACTCTGGCCGCCGCACCTTTTATGCTAAATACGCGCGACAACAGACAACACAGCCATTTGTGGCCAGGACAAGTGCACTTGGCCAGCGGAATCTTAAGTGGAATGGCAACTGAGTAATATTTTCGGGAAGTGCCAGGAAGAGGAGGAGCAGGAGGAGAGACTGGGGAGCATGGCTGAGCATTAAAAAACAAAAGGGAACGAATGGCCCGGCCATAAGCGGCTTAATTTCCTGGGTCTCTTGTCTGGGTGGGATTCGTTTCGTTTTCCTCGTCTCTAAAGAGTCCGAATTTCCCCCTTCTTAACTTACACATTCCTATAAGACTAACTGGGGGATACAAAAAATTTAAATACAGCAAAAATTCCATAACTAATTGGAAGAGTGGAAGTGCACAATACAAGGCACTCAGAGAAAAGGAATAAAATCCACAGGCAAAATAAAAATAATGGCTAAAATAAGGACATTCCATAATACGTTCTACATAAAATTAAGATTTAAAGGCAAGAGTTTAATGTAGTTTCTCTTTTATCAACTTTATGGAACGACCTTGTTTCTCTGGGTGTATGAACTAGGATCCTGGTAGAACCTTCCGAAATCCAATTATCTACCGAGATGCACAGGACTCTGGTTGGGAATGCTGGGCGGTGTTGCAGGATATGAGGCCGGGCGGTGGCTTGTTGGTCGGGCGAATATGCATCACAAGTTCATAATGAAATCAATTTTCAATCAATCGTTCGCATAGCAAAGTAGTAGTAGCAGCCAGGCTGTGTTTTCCACAGTTTCTCTCTCTCCTGGGGAGACTTTTCCTCCCGTTTTTGTTTCACATCGATTCGGCTCCTTTGCTCTTTTGCTCCTTGGTCCTTTGGCCAGTTGGACATTTGCACTTTTTTCACATTTGCAGTTTTCTCCAGTCGGATGTATAACTGTTTCGTTTTTCTTCTTTTTTTCCCCAGCTGGTTGTACCTTTTCCTCTTGGCCACGGATGTGCTACAAATTGAATTTCAGCCGCGGGACACATTAAGCGATCGCCTCTGCCTACGGCCTTTGGCATTTGAACATAAAAATTTATGCGATTCGAGAGTTGAGTTGGAAATGCCACGCTGCTGCAGGTGCTTTCCCCTCCCCCCCTTGCACACACAAAGAATGTTTATGCGTCGTTTATGCAGAACAATTTGAATATTTTATGGACAAAATTCGATTTCGGCTCCCTCTCGTTGGCCAGTTTCAGTTCCCAGGCCAGTCCTACTACGTGCACTAAAAAAGTTTTGCATATGGAAATTGATTTCCTTTGACCCATGCATACATGTGTGAGTTTGCTATAAATACTTGTGCGTCCGTGTCCAGTTTTTGGTCATTCACACGCACGCTTAGGCAATGCCAAAAACTCTGGTCATTCCTCGATGCTTGACAGTTGTCAAGTTTCGTAGGGAAATCGGGGAAAAAAAAGAATATATATATATATATAAAAAACGGAAATCCAGTAAAAAGGTGACCAAAAAATACGCCGTAAGCCAACAAAAGGGAAATGAAACAAAAGTAATTTGCACCTCAACGAAAAAGTTTCATAGAAAAAATGTCAAAAAACTGGGCAATTTATATGCACCACGGGACGGTTTTCTCTTTTAGTGTCTTACAGTCAGACATATTACGCATACGCAACGTGGTGCCAGGAAGTTTTTTATCGAAATTAGAACTGGATAAAGATCGATATTGCAAAAGCTGCTATTGATTGTGGTTTTAAAATCCTAACTCTTGATTGTATGACCCAGGAAATCAGTGCTAAAACGTCATTAGACTCTTAAATTTAATATAACATAATATATATGATCTATTAAAATCTATATAATCTATTCAACCTGTTAAAGTATTATAATATTCTATAAATATACATTTTAATTACTTACCTTATAATCAACAGAGGACAGGGCATCTCCATCTGAAATGTAGAAAATTCATAAAATTGTTAGTTTGAAAACTCCAGTTTTGGCCACAAATCAAATCGAATAAACTCCGTATGGATTTAGTCGCATTTTCGGCTAAAATATTCGCTAACCTAATACGGGCGGGCATCTGCCATACAAAAACGAAAAAAGAAACGGTCAACCCGTGGGGGAAATTGTTGCAGTTTATCAAATATTTTCGGTTCACATGTCCATGGACATTTTATTGAAATTTTGCATTTCATTTGTATTATTTTTGGAGAGTGAAATGTACGCTCTGGGCATTTAATGAAATTGTCACACTATTTCACAATTGTGGCATTAACGATTTCGATAATTTATGGGCTCAACGGGTTGGCTGTGGATATATAATGTGAATGTGGAATTGAAATGCTCCTGGCACAAGTCAAATAAATGTCACATTCATGTCGTCTGTTTGCCATTGGCCCCGAGGCTTGCACCAAAAACAGCTCAAAGTGAAAAGTCTTAAATAAAAAATTTATAAGCTTAATAAAAGCGTTGCAGCAGCAGCAGCAGCAGAGGGAAAAGTGGCTCCACTGTCGATTCCTTGTTGTTCCTTCCCATACATACTCTCGGATATATGGAGGGAAAAAAGAAAAGCAAGTATATATATATATATATATATACGTAGCACACACGACAAACTTTCAAATCGGGAGCTACGTGCGTCAAAGCCAAAAAGCCCCAACTTTATATCGCGCTGTTTGCCTCCATTTCCCATCCTCGTTTCCATTTTCCTTCCCCCTCCCCCTGGCTCTTTTACTTTGGCAACTTCAAAAGACTTTTAGCTTATTTTTTAAGTCTCTTCTATCGTGACCCCCCTCTCCACTGACTGGTGCAGCTTCAGCTTTTTTCTATTTTATTTTATTTAATTTTATTTCGTATTATTTTTCTTTTGGCCAAGTTTCCTGCTACTGCTGCTGGTGGTGGTGTTTAACCGGAATTTGGCATTGGCATCATGTGGTGTTTATTGGTAAAATCCCTTTCGGCCTGACATAAATATCAAGAGCAAGTGCAGGCGTGGGCAGGCTGAATTATGTAATTAACTTGTTGCATGCCTGCAAAATAAAAAGGGACGACCAATTGAGGGCAAAAACTATTCGCAATCTGGCCAAAACTAATCGCATGTATCCGGCAAATAATTCCATCGCAAACGGACCCGCATTAGTGGCGAATTAAAGGAGCTATAAACACGAAATCAGCGCATGCGAAACGCTTTCCAAGGAGCCAAGTTCGCATAAAAATTGTTAACGGAAGCGAAAATTAATTAAGCCACTGGCCAAGGGCAAAGCACGCACTGCCACGCGATGGCAATGATGGGGGGCGGGGGGAGGAAATCGGGGACGTAAATTCAGTAGGGAAAACACTGCTGATAGGGAAAAGCCAATGGGGAAAAAGCGGTCATCTGAGGCTGCGCTCCCTCTGGTCTGGAAAATATTGAACGCCTGCTGGAGACCGTAACGCGCTTTTAGACGTGCTCAAATATTTGCCAAACGTGTCAAAAGCGCTGGAACGACCACCACCAAGAGCTCCCTAAAGGATGGGTGGGTGGGTGGTTGTGTGGTCTCTTCCCAGTTCAAGTTCAATTCCCGGTTCCTAAAACACCACCACCTTCAATCCACTCGACAGAGACTCTCTCTCTCGATTGATTGAAGGTTGTGCCGTGCCAGTGACCTGTGTGTAAGGACATAATTTCTGTTTTTGTTATGGTTTAGTGACATCCTTCATCCATTGGAGGGGATGACTGGGGCAAATGGAAATCAAAGCCAAAAAAGCCCCGAAAATTGATTGACAACTGACGGGGAACAAGTCGTCGTGGATAAGGCATATATCGATTGATCTGTCCGCCGTTAAATAAGCTATATCGATGGTAATCTGTGGGAGTGGGGCTGTGAGAATCTAAAAATAGGTTTAAATATTAGATTCTTTGTTATTATTGTTATCGGAAATTACAAATATATATCTAGAAAGATTATTGTTAATATTATTCTATGTATTCTATACTTTATAATTCAATATTATGGAAACGAACTTCTAAGCCCTCGCATTAATAACTTATTCATGATAAATCTCTCATGCTTTAAACATGTAATTTATTGCCGTTTTTAATATAAATTTTTGTGTGTAATTAAACTGAAAATTATACGTGCAATTAAAGCCGAAATCAAACTGTGAAAGGAGAAAACATTAAGTGTGAAACAGATTACAAGTCGAGCAGCCGAATCTGGCAAAGAAGTTCTTGGGGACAGGACGAGGCTGCCGTCGCCTCTCCTTCGTCCTGCCAAGGAATCGGGCCTAGACAAGTTAATTTATGGCAGTCAGTGAACCATCCCAGATAACTACAGGCACCGTCTGCTGATGCCACAACTCAGAGAGAGAAAGAGAAGTGCTCCCTGCAGCCCGCTTTCCCCTTGGCTTTTCCTCCTTGCAATCCCTGCAATCGGATTTTCCTGAGCCTCCTAGTTTTTTTTTCTTGTTTTCCTGCGCTGCGGCTGTTTGTGCGAAAACTTTTGCTAATTTGCGGTAATGTTAATGCTGAACTTTGCACAAAATTAGTCAAGTTCTTGGCGCGGCTCGACTTGGCGCTGCGGATTAAGCGCCATGTTACGCCAAAAGTGTTAAGTTGGAAATAAATGTTGACACTTGCGGTAAACTGGAGCTCTTATGCCGCAACATAAACAAAAGGGCGAACCCGAACCCAAGGAAAATCACTTTAAAACACATGGCCAACGGAGTTTGAGGTCGTTTTGCCGGAAGAAGGGGTTAAAGCCAGGCAGCATGAAATTAACTACTGCGACGACGCCCTGAAAGTATGCAGCACAGCGTCTGAGCCAGGTCCTGCTCCTGGTCCTGGTCTTGGTCCTGTCCTTCCCAGGTCTCAGGTGCGTGTGTACCGCTGACTTTGCCGGACTGCAGTTAATTAAGTCGCCGGCACACCGGCAAAACCGGCAACTTGGGCCGCCGCCACCTTTATGGCAGCTGAGGTATGCCAGCAGCTCGCTGAAGTATTCTGCTGTGGCGAAATTAATTTATAAGTTCGGTCCGCCCATTACACTGGCAGAAAATATTATTGGGGTTTCTTTATAAGTACAAAAGGGAGAGGGTGAAATACATCCCTATCCGTTTAGTAATATAATTTATTGACAGCATAAAAAAATAACAAGGAAAGGAATCTAACTTTGAGAAGCAACAAGTTTGCAATTATTTTAGGAGCTTAATTTTCAATCATTCATAACTAAGTCAAGAATGCATTAATTTTAATTCGAAAAGCTTTTCTGTCTGAGTTATTATTTATTTAACAAATCTGCTTACTCTATTTAACTTTCGAAAACTTTAAATGACTGAAATTGATATCCTTGAGCAGATATTATTTATCTACATTTTTATATGGCTAAGCCAAAAATGCATTAATTTTAGTTCTTATGTGCGTTTTTAACAGTTTAACAAATCGGCATACTCCGTTTAAAATCTTAAATTTTTGAAAAGCTTTGAAAATTTTAACGATGCAACCCCTTATAAAATTTTGGAAAACATTTTACAATTTTGTTTTCTTCTAAACACATGCAGATCAACTCGGTTTTCGAAGCTGATCAAGAATATATATGATTTTTAAGGACGGAAATGGCTTTCCACTCAAATAATACAAAATTAATAGTTTAACAATATTTTTGTACGAAAATGAACATAATCCACAGTTAATTTAAATCATTTCCAACAAATAAAAGACATGGAAAACGTTTCCTTTTTTTTTACATACATTTTTACCCCTTAAGAGTTCTGTAAGCCTTATTTCAGATGCTTTCTATTCTATTAAACATTTTGTGGAAATTCCCAAGAGATTATTCTTTTAATATGAAATAAATTAAATAACAATAAATAAGTATAGATTTATTGCAGTGCAGGATAACTTGCCCGTCCAATTGTTTACGACTCCAAAAACCGACCCCGGCAAAGTTTCGCACCCTCGAAAACTTTTGCGCTCCAAATTTATAAAGTGTCATACGTTACGTTATGGGGCAAAGCGTTACGGTGAACCTGAGCCTTCTTGTTTCCGTTCCCGTTCCCGTTCCGAATTACGTTCTGGTGCCGCCGTACGTCCGTTCCGGTTATCGTCTAGGCCAAGTTTTAATCAAGTTTGTGGGCTTAGTAAAATAATTTATGTAAAAAATTGCGGCTCACAACTAAAGTTGTGAGGGGAAAGCCCGGTGGTGACGTTGACAACGATACAATTATTGGTTTGTAGGCAGGAACAATTTACAAGCTCTGTGGGCTCTCAGTGCTGTGGGCTTGTAATAAATCAAACCAAGTGAATAAATCATATCTGAAAATACACACACCCATAGACCATGCCATACCATCCGGAATTCCAGTGTGTATGAGAGTGGAGAGTGTCACAGTTGACACATGCGAAAGTGAACGGCAAACGGCGACGGCGACGGCGATGGCGACATGAAATAATGACATGAAAATTGACAATTTTATTCCTACTTAACTTGCTGAATGAGCAAATGAATATATCAAGTGAGCTGTGTGTAGAGAGAGAGACATATGCATGTACATATTTTATGCACAGTTTGACAAGCGAACGAGCTGGAAACGAGACCTGAATGAGTGCCAGACTGACTGACTGAATGATTGACTAAATGACTGAATGACTGACTGACACATACAGTGACTAACCGAGTGACACTCCAGCCAGCTGTCAAAGTGTGAATATCACACGCTCACCCGCAGCGAGGGGGTGTGTGTGTGCGGGTGTGATTTTCTTTGATTTGCATCGGCGGAAATGCAAGTTGGCCAAAACGGCGAACAGGAAAACCGCCTATTCGCCTATAATTTACGAGAACGGCCAATGCACATGTTTTATGGCCTAATCGAAGCCAGCGATAAGCCGTATAAATCAATATTTTATTTACTTCCAGCTATATGAGGAATGCACTTGAAAGAATTTAAGGTACTTGTTTTATGAGAAATTTATATTTATAGTTTTTTAAATATTTTTTATTTTCATTGATTTATTTAGTTTTATCAATGTTTTTCACATGTTTTCCTAGTGCAATCTCACATTTTCGCCATCTCTCTCACTCGTGACAGCCCTCTCTGGTTGTTATTTTATTTTTTGTTGAATGCCACTGATTCAATTAAATAATCGCCGCGGACAAAACGATCATGGATCAGGGCAGTCTCCAAAAGTCTCCACAAAAATCTGGGGGGCAGACCACAGACATTGTGTGAAGAGGCAGCCAGAAGCTCTAAAACTGGATAGGAGATCACATCGGATCGGATAGGAACATGAATCGTTATCAACTCTTACTTTTACTCGTCGGAATCTCATCAACTTTGGCTCTGCCGAATTTCGGCAACGATGAGGAAAGTTCTGAGACGGACTTAAGTGGCATTGGTTTCGTGAAACTTGGTGAATCCGCCAGCGAGGAGAGCGACGAGAGTGATGGCAAGGCCAATGCCTCCGATGACCTGATTTTCCTGAGTAGGAAGAAACCAAATCCCGCCAATCAATCGGTTGATTTGAGTGGCTTTATTGCTTTGATTCCACTGCGTGAAGTGCAGTCCATAGCTGCCCACTATTATCATCATGATGCAGAGTTCCAGAGAGCATATGCCTTCCTAGTAAGTCGTGATTTTGCGGATATCAAGCGAAAGATTCTACAGTTGCCAGAGGTCCTGGAGTTGACCGATTACCTCAGTGCCCAGGGATTGGATGTGGTCAAGGCCATTCAGTCGGTGGCAGATGTGTTTAAACCCGAAATATTGGAATCTATTACAGTCAACGGTGCGTATACGTAATATTTGGATTATTATTTCAATTAGTGAAGAGAACTAAACATTTTCCCTTGTGTAGTGCCACCCAAATCCATAACGAATGAGGAGGGCAGCTCTACCACCCGGGAGCCATTAAGTGGCCTGCATGGCATGGTGGACAATGTCCTGGAGATCCTGCCGCAGGACCAACTGTGGGCGCTTTTCTTCGATGAATTCGAGAGCAACAAACAGTTTGCAGCGGTCGTCGACAGCATTAGCAGTGCCAAGTTTCCCAAAATACTGAACGGTCTTCAGGTGAGTCCCGGAAAACCCTCGGAAAATCATCCACATCTCGCTTGTGGTGTATGTAATTTGGTTTTTGGGGACACGCTTTGTTTGTAAGACTCCTTATTGGGTCTCTGTGTGTGTGCTGTTGGAAAATTGTTTAAAAAATTCCATTTGAAATGGCCGCCTTCACCATAATAATTTCCTAGCGGGACGTGAGAAAAATGCGAGATTGCTTTATTGAGTTTTCCTCGGTGAAGAAAGGTGCAGGTTAAAAGTGGGCAACTTTTATATGCGATTCCGTATACAAATCAACTTCCGTTGATGCCTTCGAATTTTCAAGTGCCAACCCGCCAAGGCCTTTTCTTTTTTCTTTTTCTTATTTTTCTTGCCGCTTTTACCGCTGTTTTTTCTTCCTTTTGGCTTTGCTTCTAATTGGCAATTGAGCTGGCCTACGTGAGGCACATATTTATGAAATCAAATCGCCAGCCGGCAGGCAATTTATATTTATTTTCCCTCCCTAATACTTATATACAATATTTATCAGCAATTCGATGGAGCAGAGTGTTTGTGATAATTGATTTCGTCGCACTGATTCGAGTCTTAATTTTTGTTCACATTTCAGAACTCGCTGCCTCTGCGAAATCTACTATTTGTCCTGCACAACAATGGCATCTATGTGGAAAGGATTGTGGAGTCTGTGAAGTCGTATTTATCCATCTCTAGTTTTAAGTAAAAAGGTGCTGATTTTGTATGAAAAACAAGAGCTTATTTAAATGATTAATGTAGGAAAACTACAAGAGACAAGCAGTCTCTTTTGACACCTTTGATATCAAAGCATTTCCAGATATCATTTCTATATTTGACTACAGAAAAAAACCATACAAAATCTGCCCCTTGTTGAGTGTGTGTAATAAACAAAGTGAATCCCTTAAAGAAAATTTGTTTTTCCCTCACACTGGGAAATCGATGGCAACTGAAACAAAATTATTTAGCCGGCAAACGCCTCCGGGGAATTGACAACGCTAAAAGAAACTTGGGCATATTAATAACAAACGCTGGCACCCACTCCGGAAAAAAGAGGGTTAAATGACGTCAAAAGTTTATCTGAAAAAAGAAAAGTTGCCACGGCTGTTGGTCCCTGATTTATGCCGCCGAATGCCAGGAGACGCAACGCAACAGTTGCAACTCTCTCTCTTAATGTCGGCGTTTATTTGAATAAACTCCAACTTTGATTTCACAGGCAGCAAGCACGGCAAAAAGTTGCAAACTTTTTCGGTTAACTGATTTCCACACAGACCTACACCTGCAGCCTCGTCTCGGAAAAACACACACACACAAAAAAAAGAATATATATATATATATTTGGTTCTCGCGCCCCCCAGGAGACTCATAATTTAGCGGGAGTATATCAATAAATTACGCATGCTGCGGCAGGAGGAGATCTCTGGGTGGTTTTTTTTCTGGGGGTTGCTGCCGGAGATAAAAGTATTGAAAAAGTATCCAATTAACTGCGTAGCTATGATGCAACTTGGACCCCATTTTCACTCCTGCTGCTCTGGAAATGTTTTCGGGTGGGGTTTGCTCGAGGTCTGGGGTTAAGTCACCCCAGGTTTAGCAGGGGGAGAGACCTTTCCTGGGCTGAATGAAACTGAAACTGGCATAAGGTGAGCGTCAGCCATCAAGTGGCAGACAGCAGGCATCAGGCATTCGACAGCAGGCCTCATTAATCAATTACAGGCCAAAAGAGGCCCACCACCCACCAGAAGCAGAACTGTTACTTTGTGAATGCACTTAAAAAAATACCCATTTTAATAAACCTAAATACCTTGCTGTTCTCCTAGACAGTAAAGCTTTTAATGTCAGTCTTAAATATTTGCAAAAATTATAGGTTTATATTTGAGATTCCCAATTGAATACTTTGTTTTTTTGCCAGTGCCTGACCAGGACGAAATCCAATCACCTGCCTACCAGTTCGGGGAAATCATCGACCTGCCACCTGGGCGACACACTTCATTCGATTGTCGGGGAGGCTTAGATTGATGCCCGACTCTGCGAAATCATTTCAAAATTTCAGTTTCTAGTCATCGTCCTTGCGCACCTGCTCAAATCCCTTGTTAAGAATGACGGTCCTCATGTTGCAGGCACGACGTAATAGGTCAGTGAAGCGGATCGGCTGGCGGCGTTTGTTAACGCTTGCCCTGGAATCGAGACCGGATCCGGTGGACCTGAAGGCAATGTATCTCGTCCAGGAGAGGCTCCAGCAGGATCTGATGGGTTGCGAGGCATTATTGTCCATTTTTGCGGCCGCTGCCATGAGCTATCGCTATCGGAGCAGGCTGAGACCCTTTCCCCAGCACTGGGCCAGCATAGATCATCTGTGTCACACTCTGAGCGATGTCCCTCCACTGAGTATCCTGAACCATGAGCTCATGCATTGCGATTACATGTCCTGCTCCCCCAATGTGTCACGCCTCTTGACGGACATTTTGGTGGAGCAGGGCGATCGCGTGTCCTTGAGCTCGCTGCGACCTTGTGAGTTTCCTGAGCTATACGCTCACCTGGGCATGCCAGCTCCACAGCGAACACCCACACATATCTTCGAGGTGCGATTGGGTAAGGGAAATCCCAAGGCCGAGGCCTATTTCCGTCTGCGGCGGAACAATAAAGAGTCTGTGAGACTCGGTTTCTATGGCTGCAAGCTGGAGAAGATGTATGCCCTGCTGAATGACCAATATCTGACGGATGGCAAGTGTGTTGAACTGACTTGCAATGTGAATGAGGCTTTGGCTAGGAGTAAACCCCAGGCCGGCTTGGGTGGCTCCCGGTGTGGCTCCATTCTGCGCTGCGTGGCCGTGGTGGAATTCGTGTTCCGCGACAACGAAACAAGTCCGGATAAGCAACATGTCCTGATCCGAGAGGCGGAAACTATGCAAATCTCGTACCTAATGGTTTACGGACAGAGTTGCCAGGAGCGTGAGGCCGAGGTGCAAATGGAGCTGGAGAGGAAGCATTTGGGCTTGAAATTGCCCCATTGGTTTGGTGGCCTCGAAACGGGGACCATATCCCTTAGTGTCGGCCTCTTGATCGTCTCCTCAATGTCAAATTATAGTTTCAACTTCTTTCGACTCTTGGCCCATATCGGGTTGCACGTCCTGAAGCGGGGAGTGATGTGAAAATTGTGAAAATATCGTGAAAAATTGTCGTCAAGTTTTATTGTATTTTTCCAGCGACCTTGAGATGCCGCAGGGATTTTTCTTACCAATCTTAGAGAGACACGTCACTCTGATATCGGTAAGAAAAGTCCTTTGTGACATTGCAAATGTGTGAAATAAAATCGAACTGTGTCTTAAACGCTCTTAGAGATTTGATTTTATTCTCGGGTAGACTGGCGGAAGAGGGGCGGACCTTGGCTTTTACAGTGCCCACATAAATAACAACAATTTAGCATTCACAAGTGACGCAGTAAAAATTTATGCGCTCTCGCACATTTTCAATTTTCTGCAATTTTTCTAGCAATTGTGTGAAATTCCTTGCGGCCATTGGGCAACATCAGCAGCCACCAGTACCAGTAGTATCAGACGTTGCATGTTGCAAGGACACAGACAGATTTGTGTGTGTGCTTGCTAATACACTGGGAAAATGTCCTCAAAGTTTAGGTATATTTAAAGAGAAGAACAAATAAGGCAGGCTCTCTAGGTTCAAATGGATTTGAATATCTAAGCTTTTGGGTTCTATTTTTGCCGAGTGCATATACTCTGAGCATTATGTGCCGCCGGACACTTTTAGGGCCACACAATTTAGAGACTTGGCTGGGCTAGATTTTCCATTCTCATGGTTTTTTTTTGTTCGTCTTGCTACCCGACGATTTTCTCCTTTTTTTTGATGTCATGGAAACCCGCCAGCAATGTGTGTTCGTGTGTAGTTAGAGTATGTGTCGCTGGCTGGCTCCGCTTTTTACATATGCTCGTCTGCTCGTTGCTGCTACAAGTTATGCATGGAATTTCAAGCTTCTCAATGGCCGGACTTTTGCAGCCGCTGGTCAGCCGGGCAACCGGGCAGCCGGGCACCCGGGCAGCCCGGAGAGTACATTGCTGGCATTTTGAGGCGTTGCTTGTGCGAGACATTTTTGTGGGCCATATTTCATCGAATCCACATTGCCGCCATATACCGGCCAGCGAGTTTTCGCCCCTGTTTTGTGATGCTGCTGCTGTTGCAATTACCGTAAAGTCTGCGCTCTATCAGAGCTGATTTAGACCCCATTTAGGCGACACTCCCCACTCCCAGTTGGCCCGGCTGACCGTTCCCAGCAACCATTAATAAACGCACACATCAAAGTTGGCATCCGCCACATAAAATTCAATTTAGTGGCAGCGACAGCAAGAAAAAAGGCCATCCCCCGAGTAAATAGCTAAGCCAAGATGCACATTAGCATCTTTACACTAGAGAAAAATATATAAACATATTACTATATACTATAGAAGAGTTGTTTTCCATGCATTCTGTAAAGCAATAAATGCATTGCCATGAAGGGTTCTTAGCTTATCTTATTATTTCATCTTTATATATACATACACTTTCCTTGTAGTTTTCTCTTAGTGTATTACTGGGCTGGGGTTGGTAAACAGGTTGGAGTGGATAACACAGACGCGGGGTAATGGAAAGTTCACCCACTTAGGGGTCCTGCACTCGAAACTGAAATCAAAATAAATGTCAACGTGGCTGTCACACAAAGCCAAACCAAACCAATCTCTCCCTTTGCTCCCTTCTCCAGCTTTCTCCGCATTTCTTCGAAAGAGAGAGAGAGAGAGAGAAACCAACCCCCCCATTTCTCTATTTCTCCATTTCTCCAGTCGCCGGGTTTTTTTTTTTTTGGGGGAGGGGTCGAGGTTTTTGACTTCCTTAATGACAAAGTGCGGCAACGGTGGCTTTCCTGCATCTGTAGGATGAGGATGAGGATGATGCCGATGATGATGATGATGATGATGATGATGTCGATCACAGTGCGGCAAGGACGTTGATGATGCAATTTCCATGGGTAAAAGGCGGCCGGTGAAAGTGTGGGTGGTGGTGTGGATGCCGCCCACCCCATTGTTCGTTTTGTTAATCTAACAAAATTGATAAGGTGTGAAATTCTTGATTTTATTTTCTGCGTTGTGAGCACCAAAATGTTTTCCTTTCTTCGTCCCACGTTTCTTTTACGTTTTTTTGTGATTTTTCCTCCCCTCTCAGCCGGTTATTGTTTGGGGTTTTCCTGGGCCCTGGGTTTCCATTTTTTTTCTTCTTCCTTTGGGCGGCCTTTGATGTTCTTTGATGAGGTGTTTGTTTAGTTTTTCCTGCGTTCGGTGCCGCTTAGAATTTTTTCCTTTAACGCCACGCTTTTATTTTTATTTTTTGAAGTTTCACCGGCGTAAACGAAATTTGGATATGATTCAGAAGACAAGCCCAACCTGTCTATCACGCTTTTCCATTTACATTTTAAACGAAATTTAATCCAGTTTGCGGCAACGCAGGCAACACCTTCTGTCATTTGCTTTGAAATTTAAATCAGCAAGGAAATTGACTTTGCAACGGCATCGGTGGCGGTGTTGCAAGGTAAAATCCACAAATAACCGGCGCCGACAGATATTACCTGGCATTGGTTTTTATTTTTAGGAAAATCTCAAATTGATGGCTGAGTAATAAATTAAATAAATAATAATCTGTGACACTATGAAATGTAAGCTAAATATAACTCCATTCAACTATCAGACTTTCTCGGATGTTTTTTACCACCCTTTTAGTTAGTTAACATTTTCCCTTTTTTTTGTACGCTCTTTTCAAGCGTTTTTCCGAGCGTTTTCCCAGGACCCCGGCTTAATTATTGGCCCGTCAATTGCACAAAGCGAAACAGAAACGGAAACCCAAACCGAAACAGAAACAGAAATTGTTCAAACGTTGGCCAGGCATAAATTGATTTCGTACCAACCAGGGGAAGAAAAAAGTGTGTGTTTGGCCACCGGATAGTCAGACAGCTCTCTCTCTCCCCCATCCCTGGGGCAGAATCCGGTTAAAGTGCAACATGCCACTCACTTGAGGACCTCATCCTCTCTAACCCTCACTCTGATCATGAATCTCCATTGAATTCAATTCGCATTCAACGCAATTCAACTTCGATTCAATGGACTCAAGTGGAGGGGGAGAAAGCTCTGTACGGATTGTTTAATTATTGGAAATACTCTCGCATTGAACTCAAAGGAGCTACCCCCCAGTCCACCTGGACGAGTGTGCATCTGACTAATCAGTGCATTAGCAGCATCCGCCATTATGGCCAAATGCAAACTTCAAGTGATGTGCCCTCAATCAGGTGTCCACATCCATTGCTTAGTGACCACAACATGAAGAGCCTGATGGCCAAAGGCAATCAAGATGGCACTGTGCGAGGAAAATGTGTACTACTAAACTAACAAGATATATATTTGATAAGATAATATATATACCTTAAGTATGACTTTAAAGGATCTTTCAGCTCTGTAAAATATGTATTCATAGAGCACTTTTTATTTGTTTTTCCTTTAAAGTTATGGTTTGGCTTATTTCTCACCGTGTCGCATTGGCTAAATCTCAGGTGCAAGACGTGGGTTTTGGGGTGCACAGATCAAAGTGCCCCTTTGAGTCGCTCAAGTGGCCACGTAGATAATGCCCCCGCACAAAGGGTCGTGGTCGTGTAATGGTTGTTGCCCCATCCTAATCGTTTCAGGAGCACCAGGAGCATTAGCAACAGGAGAAGGAGTAGCAGAAGGACCATCGGCCTTATGTCCTGATTGCGCATACGCAGTGTGGTCGCTCCGCTTAGGTTTATTTGTCACGCAGCCTCGCCTCCAATTGATTTAAAATCCTTCTGATGGCGCCGTAATTTGATGTCGGACTGAGGGGGATGGGACGCTGGCATTTTGGCAAATTTCATTTGCGCTGCAAACTCAGTTAGTTGGCAAAGTCGCGTCGAAAGTTTCGCTCTCTCTAGCTGGGTGGCTGCCTGGTTGCATGTGCGTTAATGCTGGCAGTTAACTTGATTTTGTCGCATTTACCCACACATTAAAGCGACAGAGGCATGCGGCATGCGGCAAATGAGGCAGCCAGCGAGCTTGCAGCACCAACTCGCAAGACAAACAATGCCACGCGAGACAAATAACTGATGGGCGGTGCCCGTGGCAGGTTGGCAGTCTGCGCCACGGAGTGTGCAATGCACAGAGCTCATCAGTGAGCAGTCCGCTTGGAAATGCCATTTTTTTAAGCACTGAGAGAAATGTATAATATTTCCCAATTTAAAAGGTATGAGAAACCATCAAGAAATGCAATTCTTACAGAAGAAAAAGATACAAATGTCTAAGTTATACCAGAAGGAAGTATATAACTCTAATTTAAGCACATACTTTAATTTACTTTAATAATAAAGAAAAATATATTTTATTTAATATTTATTGAAATATTTTCAAACTTTTCCCCTCAGTATCAGCCAAGGTCGTAAAGGAAAGGGCCATGCGGTGCTAAGTGAGTGAGTGATGCATGCCGCAGACGATGCAAGTTGAAGGAAAAATGTTAAATTACGATGACAACAGCAGGAGACGAAGGGAGGGAGGGAGGGTGGTGGCATTGGAGTAGAGTGTGGAAAATGGAAAGCCTGTTGTGACGGGGCATTGTTGTTGCTGCTCCCCACCTCCCCCCTTATTTACATGCAAGTATGCTAGATGCGTGCTGTTTATTTATGATTGCATTCAGTGAACCTTCACGTTTCTCCTCCCGAATAACTTAACCCGTCTCACTGATGGCATCATGTTGTGTGTGTATGTGTGTGTGCCACAGCCGTTGCAGCACTAAAAACCGATTAAATATAAATTAATATAAAAAATTTGCATATTGAATGCTCATTTCATTTCAGCGACAGGCAGCGCATTCCTTTAGCAGATTTAATGGCACTTTAAAGGTTAATCTTTTGGAAAAAATATAGCTTTTTTTTTTGCTCTATAAGGGTTTTTGTTACAAGGACACTTGACTTTTTTTACATTATTTAAATTTTTTTGCATCCTAGGTTTGACAAATTACTTTTCTATGGTTAATATTCTGTGGGGTTTTTAAAATTTTGTTTTATAAAATTGCGCTACTAAAAAGATTTATAATTATGATAATAGTTCTAGATAATATAATTTTATAAGGTTCTGAATATACAGAATAACTAGAAGTTTATATACGCTTGCAGTTTGAAAAAAAAGAATTATTGGTTTAAATCGGAAATCGATTATAACTAAGGTTAGAATATATGCTTTTTTTGGTTCAATATTTATTGATATTTTTAAGAGGCAACTTTTGTCGAAAAA